GAAAAACAGACTCGAGAAACGCGTGTTTGACAGTTGGTGAAACAGATTGGCTTTTATTTTCTGCCAAGAATTTGAGTCTGTTACCTTTGCCTCCCTAAAGCTAATGTCGTCATTGTCTATTGTAGCAAATAGCTGTTTAAAAGTTATTTCCATTTTGAATTATTTTGTTTTATAATTGCAGGATTATACTGTGCCGCTTCGCACTTTGAGATAGCTGATTTATCGATGGCGTGTCTAGACTTTGTAGAGAGATGTTTGAAAGCTGGAAAGATAGAGACGCTCCTAAATTCAGCAAGGTGCTACAGTGAACATAAAAACTCCAGTGTCTTGTTTGATAAGGTAAGATTATTTCATGACAGATATCCGTACTAGAATTGAACTGCTCAATGAACATCAACATGTCATTTCAGCATTTCAATAAAAATGGTTGGCTTTGAATGGTCAATATTTTATGTTTTATGCATATATATTAGCTACTTTCGTGTGCTAGCTTCACTCTCAGCACAAGTTTAGGGACGTTTAAATATCTTTGCTGTTCTGGTCTTTATCCTAATAAGCAACATTTTAAGATTTAGGATGTAAAACTGATTTTGAAATATTTCAAAAATATTTTGTTTTGTAAAAGATTATTACATATGTATTGTGAATGTTTCATGTAATGTTGTAAACAATAGTTTCACATTCGTTTAAAAGAATTTCTATAGTTTTACCCTCTCTGTATGAGTATTTCATTTCTCAAATAGGCAAGGAAGCCATTCCTTTCGTTATTTTATTCAATATCCCTACCTTATTTTGGCGGAAATGGTCAGAAGCTGCTTCGCAATATCTTATACGAAGTGTACGGGAAGGACCGATGCTTTACGACTGCGATAATCCGGTCATTATCCACATGTTCCAGTTAAACTTTATTGTGAATATCAATGAAGTAAATCCTTCAAAAGAACGTGAAAGAACATTTAAATCGATTTAAAAAGAATACTAGATAACAAAACTCTTATATAACTTAAACTGTTAATTATTTCAGATATACTCAGTGGTGGATGCACGATATGTTACAAAGAATAAGGAAAGGGGAGCAACTCGTGTCTGAAACATTCAGGGGAAACCACCAGCAGTGCTTAAATTATGTAACATATTATTTTGTTGTTTTGTTTAATTTACATTGACATTGTTGAAAGTTTGTTACTACTGCTTTAATAAATTATGATATTTACATGATTACAATGAACATGTATCGTGATTATTGATAATTGATATATTATATTAAATATATTTATTTAAATCTATGTGTGCTTGTATTTGTTGTTGTTTTTCTTTTATAAATATTTGATTTTATATTTTAAATGATTCATAAATGATAAAAATTCATAGCATAAAATATGCTTTAATCGCAAATTAATGCATTTTATCAATTGAAAAATAAAATACGTCTTGCCTTTTTGCACTAAATACATTTATGAAATGGCTTAAAATATTAAATTTTAGAGAATCAAATTTCCTTGGCTGCACAGTAATTTTTGCGATAATAATTTCACATTCACATGTATTCTTTCATGACTATATCTTTGTGTTCTTTTTCTTTATGTGATGCAATTTTGTCTTTGATTATGGCTTACCACATGTAGTTTGTCATGCAAATCCTTTGATACAAGCATACTCAGCTATTATATAATCATAGTTCACTCTTGCTTTGTCTAGAATTGCAGCAGCTGTTTTAAACTAAAAAAATAACAGCAATGTGACTTAGAGAGCTAAAATTAGAATGCACGCGCAAACAAAATGGGAAGTTCCAGGACATACACGCGCTTATAAAATGAGATAACCCAGAGCATACAAACACAATGAAATATTTAATAATTAATACTGTGCAGTCTTCTGCATGTTGGGGAAGGCTTGTATGATTTTTATTTCGCACGCAATAGATGTGGTTATCACCATTAGGACTTAATAGATGAAACACGTGCCAACAATGTTGTTATAATCACTAAGCCATGCATGTGTCATCAAAGTGATTCTTTATCCATTGACTAAACCAGGTCAAGCAAGTGCAATTAAGGTTCCATTGACCAAACCAGATAAGGCACGTGTAATCAAAATGGCTATTTATGCATTGACTTAACCAGGTCAAGCATGTGGTTATCTATCCATTGCCCAAACCAGGTCAGGCACGTGAAATCAAAATGGTAATTTATCCATTGACAAAGCCAGGTTAGGCATGTGCAATCAAAATTGTTTTCTATCCATTTATTTAACTATGTCAAACACGTGCAATGAAAATGGTTATCTATCTATTGACTAAACCGGGTCAGGCACTTTGATTCAAAATGGTTATCTATCCATTGACTAAACCGGGCCAGGTACGTTTAATCAAAATGGTTATCTATCCATTGACTTAAACCGGGTCAGGCACGTTTAATCAAAATGGTTATCTGTCCATTTATTAAACTAGGTCAAGCATGTTTAATGAAAATAGCTATCTATCCATTTATAAAATTAGGTCAGGCATGTGCAATCAAAATGGGTTTCTATCCATCGACTAAACCGGGTCAAGGACGTGCAAGCAAAATGGTTATTTATTCATCGTTAAACGTAGTTAAGCACGTGCAATCAAAATGAATATCTATCCGATGATTAAACTATGTCAAGCACGTGCTAATAAGCATCCGAAAACAATAAATATTTCGCTTCGCGGTCCCGCCGTATTACAATTCAATCTCAACTTTTCGCTCCGCGCCCCCGGTAATTAGGGTGTTTTCGCTCCGCGCCCCCGGTAATGAGGGTGTTTTCACTCCGCGCCCTCGTCATTTTTAACTTGTTAATTTGGCGGAGTTGCGGGGCGAAAACACAAATGGCAAAAAACAGCCTCTTTACAATGCTGGTTAAACATTGCATTTTGTACCTGTTTACTATAATTAAGAATCCTACTTCCGGAACAGTGCAGAGAAAGCAGGAGAAATGAACAATGTTTAAACGTTTCGTTTGTCACCGCATTACCGGGTCATGTTTTGGCGCAACTGTTGTTGTTTAATATGCGGATTTTTACAATCTGACTGTCTCCATAAGGCAGGGCCATTGGCGTGTGTTTAATTGTCCGCTATTTTATCCGAACACGTACGGACGTTTCTGTCATTGTTTGGTTTGGTTTTAAGGACCGACACAATTTAGGTCAAGGCAAGATAATTTTGGTTAATTTCGGGTGTTCAAACCTCCTCACCTGCTGAAGCTATGAGGTTCACAGACTCCAATAATTCGAATCCATTTAGTCGCCTCTTACAATCACGCATTGACAAACCGTGGCTTGAAATCCTCAACCCTTCAAGGCAACCCCGTAATCACAAGGGACAGAGTGGACAACAACTTTAGTCTTAAGATATTGATGTTTTGGAGAGCTATGAGAAATAAAGAACATATTGTCATTAATGTTGTCATATGTGACTCATGTGGACAACACTGTCGTCTAAAAATATTTTTGATGAATGTTTTCGCGAGATTATATTTTAATAAACATAGGCAATATTAAAACTGCCCTAATACTTGGCATGTTGTTAGAATGTATGATAACAGGAAAAAAAATTAAGCGAAAATTTTTTGTGTTACCGTTCTCTTTTCAGTTATGCCCCTGAAATGAAATGGAATGTTTTGCTAAATTCAAGGGCAGATAATTCACTATTATGTATTTGAAAACAATGCATTAGGAACGTTTTTTTTCTTGAGGGCTCACCTCATCAGCATTTAAAAATATTATCTACATTGATATATTATATGATAATCAGACAATTATGTCATGTTGAATTTGGCCATGTTAAAATGAAATTTGCAGCAAATGTGTGGTCAATTATACATGTACATATCAATCAGCAAAATGTTCTCAAGTTATAAATCTAATACAAAATTATATGAAAGAAAAATTATAACAGTAAGAGAAATATCAATAAATGCCAAGAAACTTCCAGATTCTCACTTTATTGTTTCATCTAAAATAACGAGAGTCGTTGATTTGTAAACGATTCATGCATTAATTTTTGCATTTTTCATGCAGAATACGATTGGCAAATAACAACAAAGGGAAACAACTCCATTTAACGCGCTATAACATATCAAACATGCGTTGTCGAACTTGAAACATTTACGGTATCGGTAATGTTGAAATGTCCCCTGGGATCTCTGTTGCGTGACGGTCTTTAATAATTTACATACTCGGTTGATAACACCCTTAGGCCTTGTTACTGTCAGTACATACTTATATAGAAATGATACTATATCATAAATAGCTCTCTCAGCTGATCGCATGATATATTTTGCCAGTTATTGGTGACTAAAATGTATCGCATTTAAAAAATAGTGAAAATTTTAGAAATTTTAGTGTACAAAGTATGTGGAAGTATTCGGAGTTTCGTTAGTATCCATAGTTGTAGTGAACATTTTCGACAAAATAAAAACATTTGTGGATTTAAGTTAACATTGGATTGGATATTAAAAGATTTATTAACAAAAAAAATCACACAGGTGTTTTTTTACCTCACCCGTCTGGAAGGTAATGGCTTTTCCTTAAAATATACAAAATTTTAAAGTAATTGCAAACTTTTGTAATAATATTTTCGCTTTATAAAAAAAAATGATAATATAATGTGTATAATAAGTAAGTATAACAACAATGCGCCCTAGAACTCTATATACACTGTAACATTTTAACAAAATTATGTAACTATATCGGCCAAGCTTATTTAATTTTGCTGATAATATTACATTTCACGTTTTATTGTTTCAATTATATCTACATAAAGATATCAACACGTATCGCCTCATTTGATTACCCCGTGATCAAATATATCTATTTAGATATTCATATCTTGTTTTCACTTTTGTTAACGTATAATAAAATAAGTGTTTGAATGATTCAAAATATATTATCAATGCGTCATCTAAAACCTAGAGGCTGTCAATGTATTCACTTATCCATTCGTATATTTATGTATATTTCATTTTATGTGGTTAAATAAGGATTTGCCGAGCGTTTCAAAATTTCTTTAAAAGTTCATTAATTGACTGTCCCATACCATATTCACCATATCGTAATTTGGTTATATAATTATACATTATATTATAACATGTACACTAAATTAATTATTTAACTGACATGCTATATGAGTCATATAACATCCTATATCATGGTATTCGCAAGATATTCATTACACCAGTCCATTTATTAGTGTTGTTTTAGTTTGCACTGTCGGCGTTTGACACGTAGTTCTGACAATTTTTTTTTCAATTTTTCCACTGGTTTTGTGCGTTGTTTTACATCAGATAAAATGCATGACGTGAAGACAAAATAAGGTCCTTGAACACCAATATTACAAGAATTAATAGCTTGTACGATATTGAAACATTACAACATAGTTTCATTTGTTTTAATAAATTTAAACTGTTATGTAGCTTTAACTTCTCAACAAGCTGAGACGATCTTTAATATCTATACCATACGGTATACAGAGAGCGATGTGGGCGATCCGTTTTCAATGTAAATTTAAAACATTTCACTGACCACCATGATCACCTCTAATTTACATTATACGACGATTTTATTCAAATATTTACCCGGGTAGTTACCGCAATTGACATTCATACAACCGTATTTACCCAGGATCGAGTTTCGTCCAGTGAAGAACATTGTATATGGCATTGATCCATTGATTCAAATAGTAAGAATTATACATTGAAGAATAATTGGCTGAGATACAAATATTTGACACATAAGACAACAGGGTACACCATCGTTCCTTCTTTTATGGGACCAATTTAAGTGATACACTTGTCACACATGAATTGAAGCCTTGAACGTTTTGGCATTGTCTTTGGTCAACTTTGCATTTCAAACATTTATTCATTTTAGACTTTATAAAAAAAACATTTGCAATATCTGAAAAAAATAGTAGTGGATAAACAAAGTCACTGTTACCTTTGTTGCAAGCCTACATTACAAGCGCCATCTACTTCCGGCCACTACCTTTCTTGACAGCTTATACATTTTGTCTTGCGAAAATAGGAAGTACATGTGTATGTAAATTCGTTTACACTCATTGATGCTCAAGAAACATCACAAAACGTATATATAAACTGATTGAAAAAGGGACAAAAGACCATTTGAATTGATGAATGTCTTACTTGGTATCATTTGAGGGTAGCTGGCAACATGTCAATATGAATTGACAGTAAATAATTACTTACTATGGACATCTTCTGTCATCAGGGTATTTATGCATTACTTACTGACATCAAAGACGGGAGATCAAAGGGGCGCGACATTTTCATTTTAAAACATACCTGTATATATGTACAACGCATACCCCCCTGGGTTCAAATAAAGAATACATACAATGTATGTTTACATGACCATGAAAACATAAGATCGTAATCATCGTCCATGAGAAAAACTCTTACTTTCGTTCCACTAACGTTACTTGTATTTCCAAAGTATAGAGCTTGACTATAGCAACTGGCCAAAGGGGAAAATGTAATAAATTTATTAGTACACTACTTTTTACATCTTTTTATAAAGCAGAATTTTGCGTTAAATTATGTTTTCCAAAGTATATGTTGATCACACTTTCGATTGAAAAATGCATCCTTCACGACATATCCATTTATGCCGAACTCGATCAAGTCTTATTGAGTTTGTTAATAAATTGCATTCACTAAGGCCACGAAGTCACAGGGGACTCGTAAGTCAGTCTTTATTGAGCTTTAACTCGTTCGTCACTATTAAAACTAGGTTGTAAATTCAGCCTTCATGTAGGAGATAAAAAAGATGATGAACTACTAGTAGCTAGCCCCAAGAAAGAATCGATTTCCTGTATCAATAATTCACAAACAAAAGTAATTAATTAATTACATCAAACTGTATTGTATTTACTTTTTGATGGCATTCGATAATTCCTCTAATTTTAGACCACATGTTCATTGCTTTCCAAGTACTTTCTCAGTCATAATATTGTGTCCAAGGTACTTTGTTCTTGTTTTATGACAAGTTTGTGATTCATGAATCAGTGCACTTTGATTCCTTTATTTTATGCGTCCGTCTGTACGTATCTGTCATAGAGACAAATCATTTCTGATCGAACTTTTTCGAACAAGTGCAACATTGTCGGTGATAATAGTTGGACGATTATACGAATTTCCCTACTTTGAGTTTGTCCTTTGGTCCTGCCTTCCACAAATACATTTGGCATTTAAGACAATTAGTATACTAACGTCTGTGGTTTTCCTCTTACTTGATCGGACGAAATTTCTCATAGTCTTGGTGAATGGACGCTTATTAAAATTCATGTGACAAAATCGCACTCAGATAAATAATTAATTCCAGAGACAATTAGATTTATGAAATATTTATGCAAAGAAAATCTTCATATTTATTTATCGCAAGGCTTTTAAGAGACGTATGTCAAGATGTTAATTTATACCTGTCAACAAATAGTGTGTTTTCGTTCTTCCGTTGCACTAGTTGCCACGAAACCTTTTGACCATTGAGTTTGTGGTTTGATTTAGTTTGGGCGTGGTGTGGTCAGGGGATGAATAATTTTTCAGCCCATCATGTGTTACGCAATGCTTTTCTGTCTTTTTACTATTTTGTCGTTTTTGTTTATTATGGCAATTTTTCACGTCAGCTTCTTAAGATACATTCTCATTTGAAGGCTATTGGCGCGAACTTTGACAACTCATGACGTAATGTCGACAGCAAAAAAGTCAATATGTTTCACGAAAGTTGTGAGCTGACCGTAAACCGTCTTATTGCGGGTGATGGTTCCAAACGTTAAAATACATATATTTTCCAATGTCATACGTTTTTACTAGCTTTATTTAAAGGCACATTAAGCCCAAAAATTGCTATAATTTTTTTTTCAATGTTTATGTCCTTATGCATTTCTCAGGAGAGTATTCATAAGCGACACAAATGAACCATAAATAAGCTTCTTTAGATGTTTGGTAATTAATACAGTTATAGTGATTCAGTGTTTTATATTAATGTCAAAATACAACTTTGTTTATGATATACCAAAGTCAAAATATTTCACATTCAGCGTTCTTTCCTTCCAGTGATAAGATTCTAAAAATCTTTAAATTCATTAATAAAACGTTACTGAATACATGCTATAAGAAAAAAATCATTTTTTAGGCATAATGTACCTTTAAAGGGGGAAATATAGACCTGGACGTTCTCTTTTTATTTGATGCGTTCAATTACATAGAACCGACATATTTTGATAAAATGTTTATTCAAAATTAAACCAGAGCCTATCATATAAATCTTTATTTAAAACAAATCACGTGATGTCAATCTTAAAGTTTGAAATACTGTCGTAGAATTTTAATCCGATTTGAGACTCGTAATCCCTTAGGCTTCATTGCTTACCATTCCGTGACCAATGTTTTCGTTTCGCGATTTATATAATTTTCAATGACATATTTGATATGGCTTTAAACATTTTTATAAAAGCAATCATGTCATTTATCAAAATAAATATTTGGATTTCTTTTTCCTTTGCATTAAGTTGACGTTTAGAGTTAATATAGACCGTCTTTTCAAAGCAGTACTTAGACCTTTCCGCGTAATGTTAAACATACTACAAGTTACCAAAAGACGAGGCCAACTAATTTGGTTTTGTAAACAGGCGTTTTCATTTTGAAATAAAATTAAACATATTGTGTGCATATTCTGTATCTCTGTAACACTACACAGTGTAGCAACATTTTGATGTTTGTATATTTAATATCAGTTATTTGAAATGCAAATGATTCTACACTAAAAAAAAAGAATTAAATATAGTGTTAATATTATTCCTGCCACAAAGTTGCATGTAAACATTTTTCTTTGTTCAGTTTTAACTAAATCTGGGACAGAAAATAACCATTTTTTTGTCCCAGACTTAATATATGTTTGTGTTTGTAGATGAAAACAGCAACCAATGTCATATATGTCGTATATAATTATGTGTTTTTATTTACATTTCGGTTTTGGTCTGTTCTTTCACAAAGTTGTATATAAACATTTTACATATGTTAATGCTATTACTAGTATTACCCTGTTCTTTGTTCATATGCAACTTAATGCATGAAACATATCTAATGTTACTGTTTCTGTCGCGAAAAACATTATTATGTTTACTGATGAAAAATGACAAAAGGTGTAGATTTTGTGTTGTCTGCACATGATGACATCTGCAATACAATGGTTAAACGCCACAAGACATGCACATTGCATTATTTTCCTGTTGTCCTTGGTCGGTTGTCTTAAAAGATCTACTATGACAGATGCAATACAAAGAAAAACTCCACATGAGATCGTACATGCTATTATTTAAATTTAATAGGCATGAAAAAATAAACAAACGCAGAAAAACACTTGATGTGATAGTGTTATAAATAATACTTGATCCCCTCTGTCAAGAAAATTTACAAACGTTTTTACGTATTTTGTCTTAAACATGTTAAATTTCCACTCAAATAAAAGTACTTGAAACACACACGTTTTAAATTTTTAAATAAAAAAGGATCCCAACTCAAACCAAAAAGTTACTTACTTACCAAAGAAAACGCATTTTCGATTTCTTTGAATTTTTTAACAGATCAGCGGGGTTTTTTTTGCAACCGATGAGATGGTTTCAATTCAATTCGATTAGTTTATTTCTTTCACTTAATATAATTACATTATTATATGTTTATTTTTTACCGGTAAGTAAACAATCAAGAGGCATAGCAGAATGGTGTAATTGTACTGCATTGTAACAGGCCGATTTGTGACTCTGGTTTTTAATTCAAATATCTGTCCCTATCTATTAATATTGATTTATACTCCCATATCGTTGACATGAACTTATTCATAAAATCATAAGTATTTGAAGATCACTGGCCTAAACTTCACCTCTAATCTAAATAGTATATTCTTCACTCGAATAATATGTTAGGGCTCTTTTATATTAAGTACTCTTTCACGCTATTAAAACTTCAAAAAGTGGGATATAAGAGCGGTATAAACGCAAGTAAACCGTTGGGCATTTTGTAAGCCTAATTTATGAAGATGTAATGTACGACAAAAATGTGATATATCATAAAATATATCATCCTGGACGCGTTACGTACTGCTCTATTTAACAACTATTAAGTCTTTTCAAACATTTCGTCACACATATGTTTTATATGATTTTGAAACGCGATCTAATAAAACGTTTTATTTAAGTTTTCGGCTGTTTGATTAAAAAAGTTTTATACGGACACCTGTCCATAAAAGAATTCCGTTAGTAACGTTAAATGCAAAATATGAAGTTATCGAAAGGAAGGTATTTTCAGAATGGTTACACTTTTATCGAAAAACGTGAATTCAAGAAAAAGGGAGCTTCAAACGTAACAATTGCCATAACAGAGTTTTCATTAAGTTGCAAAATTTGGAAGCCAGAGTCTGCAAAATGTCTGACATCTGACACATTATATAGATATAGAAGGAAGAAGTCTAAGGCCAAAATCAGTAGTAAACGACTCCCAAACTTCCACTAATGGCCCTGCCTTAACGTGTGCCCTTGATGTCTGGTATTTTAGTCATGAGCCCAATACCTGAATAAGTTGACCAGAATACCTTTACTTATCTTGTATTAGATACTTGGACCAAGGCTGTGTCACCCTGCAATCCCTAAAGTCATATATAGTACTTGACCAGGACACAAAATCTCGGGTATACACAAGTCATGCTCTACGCTTTTATCATATAACATAAATAAATATTTAGAAGGGTTTTTAAGACAAGATGCGTTACATACCAAGGTTACCCAGGTGTTATCTACTTAAATTGATGCGAGCAAATATTTTCGTCCGAAAGGTATTAAATACCACCCAAGAAAATCTAAACATCGAAAGTGACTAATTTATTTCAAGTTCTTCAGCGGGTTTCATTAAACAGCTTCTCGCCTACTGAAATAACTGGTTTTATGGACAGTTGAATAAAATGTATTACATTTGTAAATCATTGACGCAATAGTTTTTTTTTTAAAAATGTGTGGTCAAGTTCGGGTCATCTTAGATATTAGATGTAGTGTATCCTTGAAAATGTTTAACGCCCAACGCGTAGCATTCAAGACAATCCTCATACCCAACTTTGTACTTCAAGGCACATTATTATCATTTTTAATTTTAAAAGCTTTTTAAATTTTGGTGTACTGTTAAAAATTACAGATTGGCCATTTATCCTAATTATCTTGTGTCTATTTTGTGTTTTGGCAATAGGAACAATTATAGTGAATCAGTATTTTGTATGGAAGTCAAAATACCTCTTTGTTTACATTTTGCTACCTTTATCACACATTATGAAATTTTGTTTTGATGATAAACATCTCACATGTTCTTATTCCATTATTACCACATCATAAAACACATGTATGCCCTTTCTACAGGAAAAAATGAGACAAAATGTGCCTTTAATGCGTTTGAAAGTCAAACGTCTAGTATACCATGGCATTCCAGCCAGGAAAATGGAAGATACAAGTTTATACCGTAACAGCAACAAATTAAAATATAACTCCAAACATGTCCACATGTATGACATGTTGGATCTTCTTTCAAATAGATTTACGGACAATTTAATGCAATAACAAGGTTATCAGTTTACAAACTACCAGTTCTGAAGTTTATCGTTTCACATCGTATTACTAAACCACCTGTCGGTAAGATTTGCGGACATATTATTCCTTCTAACTGACAAGTGTCAAGCCCTGGGCTGACCAGGCACTTGCTCTTTGTTGCACTTTCGGCTGATCTGATCTGTAAATGATCCAGACTAGCACTGGAAAAAGCCCCGGCAATTCAAAATAAAATGATCGAATCTTTGCCAAATCTATGTCTTTTAAATGATTTATGTCTAAGCAAAAAACAACAACAAAAACAACAACAACATCAACAAAACCAACATAGAAAACCACAACAACAAAATGACAACAAAAATACGAAATCAGAAACATGTATGAATTTATTTAAACAACAAAACAATGCAAACAAAACAAAAAACACGGATTATAGGGAGGTAAAAACTATTACTATCAGAGACTTACGTGTTACATGTAAATTAAAACTGTGTTACCATTTACCCTGCAGTGTTATCTAAGTCTACTTGTCAACGTTGCAACACAATTTATGATTTATGACCTTTAAGTTCATGTATTTTCAGGATACCAATATTTTCCACGCATAGCTTCTAGGCTAAATATCATAATGTATTTGAAGTAGGCCTATAAAAAATAGATACATTCCCGTAGATATAATTAGTTCAAGAAATAAAGTAGATCCTACCTTGAACTTTGCAAAAATAACATACAAATTCGCCATTTGCAATGTGATACAAAATAATTTCTCATGATTATAGATTCATTGTTTTCTTAACTTGATACTTATCGCCGAATTGGTATTTTACAAATGAATTGTTTTCAAAGGGTTTAAAGCCCAATTAATTTACAAATGAGTGCGTCCGGGAATTAATTGCAAAAAGTCAAAATATTTAAATAGTTTTGACTAGACTTGAGAGATTTTACACATGTTAAATTAATTATTATGCTTTTGCAGTAACGAAATTCGTTAAAACATTCTCTAAATATAAAATGCGTCCGTTTTAAATTTCCCCGCGGTTTTTTTTCTTATTGGCGGAAATAGAATTTCTCGCACATGCGCATTTGGTTTACTATCGTGACAGATTAAAAAAAAGGATGTTCACTTTCGTTTTTCATTGATTTCAGGTAAACAATGGGGTCCAAAAAGGATCCGATGTCATTAGATCAGTGTTTAGGAGCCATAAAACAAAAACAGGTAAGAATATCTACATTTTGACTATAATATACCAAATTTACCAAAATGAGGCGGGTTTATTTGCACACCTTGTCAAGATCAAAGTACTTGAAGTATTATTTACATCTAGCATACCTGAGCGGAAGTAACAATGAATTCAAGGATAGGTAAAGATAAAGAATATTATGTAAACATTCATATGTTCCAAAAAACAGGTCAATACAACATAATTTAGAAGAAAAAACAATTGAATCATCCTAAATGCATCAATATTAGTATTTTAAAGTTTTTTTTCCCTTAAGTGAATTCAGGACATAAATTCATCACAGATTACTTTCAACAGTGTCTAGTTTTTATGATAGTTTAAATATGAAAGTTGTAATTTATAGCAGCAAGTCGAGAGCTTACTGTCAAATGAACATATTCATAAATTTATGTGCATGTAGGCTTTATATATGTATGCCCTATATTATAATGAAATAATATATGTTATCTCAACTATGTGTGATGACTCATCATCATTAATTGTATACATGTAGCACACACATTAATTAGTACATATTGTTTTATAAATGCATTTTACAAAGCATACTGTATATTTTAAACATAAATTCTCTGAGTAATATGACTTAATAATGGAGAACTGATATTAACTATATTCCTCATGGAAGTTAATTATTGTGATATTGGTTTTAATTTATGAGGTATTTTTGTTCCTCAGCAAGTCCTGAAATATCATATAAAAACCATTCTCTTTGCTATGAAGTTCATTTACAAACAACAAGGAAGTCAGTTGAAATGTTTATTTTGTACATATTTAAACATAGCCTTTATAGTTCGGTTATTGTATAAACAAAATCTACATATGTTGTTGAAGCTTGATTCGTGTGGAGAAGTTAGCATTTACTTGTGGAGAATGTTCTGAAATAAATCGTCACACCTACTAGTACATGTACTTTTAAAATTATGTTGCACTTATACATGTACAGGTGTTTATTTGATATATATTTTTTAAGTTTATTTGCCTGGAGTGAAAAATATGCAATGTTAATTCTTTGGATTTTAAGATTAAAAGGCATTTTGAGATCCACATTCCATTTGTGTCTGTTCCTGAGACGTTTAAGTCTTCTCTTTCCCCAACTGTGGTGTGATTACTGGTTTTTAAGCCACCCAGGAAGCTGTCATTTTACTTGACTTAAAAAGCGTTATTTTTAGATTCCCATAAAAGGGGATTGACATTAAATTGAAAAACAAACAAAAATATTTACTACAGTCATCTATTTACTTCAATTTCAATGGGGTTTCTCAACAAAATCCACCAAGTAGACATTGACGTCAATGGGGTTGCCTGTGTTCTAAGGCACTGTGACTGCATGCTGACAAAATTGCCATTTTTAAAACTGTGATATAAAGTTACGTTGACATGAGACAATATTATTAACCTCATGAATACAGTATATTCATTAAGGCAAGACTATAACTCTTTGCAGGTAAATTATTTGTTTTCATTTTGTATCATGAAGTAGCAGATTGAAAAGGTGTGGCAGTTAGAAATTTCATTATAAAATCAATGTTGCCACATGCATGGTGCAAATTGCTGTAGCAACATTGTATAATAGTTGACATGATGTGGTTTGATATTTGTCTACAAACTTATATCAACAGATAATTTATATTCAATAGAGGACATACAATATTTAAAACATTTTAAAGCTGCATGCCTCCAGATAAGCCAATATATTTCAAGACAATCAAACTTGAGAAAATGTACTGAGATTTTAAGAAAAGTGAAAGGATTCAAGATTCAAGTAATAATTTACATGTTATGTGCGATTAATGACAGATTTTGAAGTATTCATCACCATAATAATTCTACAGTGTTACTAATGCAGTAAGGGCTATTTTTACATATTTTGACCTCTTTTTGGTAATTTATGTAGATTTCAATATGCTAATTTAAATATCTGTATTCACTTCACAATACTTTACTTTTAGATACATTTTCAAAATTTTCATGAAAATTAGGCATGCTGCTTTAAAATACATGTATTTGTCTAGAAACTTATATCAAGCCGAAGGGATAGTTTATTATAAGTCAAAAGTGGCCATATAATATTCAAAACATCTGTCAATATTGATAACAACTGACAACAATGTAACATTGTACCTTTATCCTAGATAATATATATTTGTCAAGTTAAATATCATAGTCAGATCTGGACTGAATGTCCTCTTTCAAATAACCTAAACAAATTTTAAATGAAATATAATAATAGCTCTAAAGTCTTGAAGCAGGCCATTATGTTTCTCTGGATTATCAGTTATCTCTAGGTGGGTGGACATTTAGGTGATGTCTGGTCAATATTTGATATAATTGATGATGAATCATGACCGTAAATCCAGGTAATTTACAGGTAACCAATACATTGATTATTGATATATAACATTTGTCAAGATTCGAATGATTGTCTTAAAATTATAGTATTGGCTTTTGTGATAATCATCCACTGTGGGTTTTCATTTTGTTATCTGTAAATGACAGACTCTTTGCTTGCTTCATTTTTTTGCACCTGAATGATTCTTGTTGGGGGAAAATTTCCAATTGGCTGCATGATGGACAGTTAATTAACCTGTGAAGTTTTTCATCATTTGCTCATCCACAGCTGTTTAAATGTAAACAGATTTAAGCAATGGGTTTTATTAGATTCTGGAACATTTATCCTGAATATATTAAGAGATATTGGAACATTTATCCTGAATATATTAATAGATATTGGAACATTTATCTTGAATATATTATTAGATATTGGAACATTTATTCTGAATATATTATTAGATATTGGAACATTTATTCTGAATATATTATTAGATATTGGAACATTTATCCTGAAGGTTTTATCAGATATTGGAACATTTATCCTGAAGGTTTTATTCGATACTGGAGCATTTATCCTGAATGTTTTATAAGATATTCAGGAACATGTATCCTGTAGGTTTTATTAGATATTGGAACATTTATCCTGAAGGTTTTATTAGATATTTGAACATTTATCCTGAAGGTTTTATTAGATAATTATTGGAACATTTATTCTGAATATATTATTAGATATTGGAATATTTATTCTGAATATATTATTAGATATTGGAACATTTATCCTAAACATATTAATAGATATTGGAACATTTATTCTGAATATATTATTAGATATTGGAACATTTATCCTGAAGGCTTTATAAGATATTGGAACATTTATCCTGAATATATTATTAGATATTGGAACATTTATCCTGAATATATTATTAGATATTGGAATATTTATCCTGAAGGTTTTATTAGATATTGGAACATTTATCCTGAATATATTATTAGATATTGGAACATTTATCCTGAATATGTTATTAGATATTGGAACATTTATTCTGAATATATTATTAGATATTGGAATATTTATTCTGAATATATTATTAGATATTGGAACATTTATCCTAAATATATTAATAGATATTGGAACATTTATCCTGAATATATTATTAGATATTGGAACATTTATTCTGAATATATTATTAGATATTGGAACATTTATCCTGAAGATTTTAAGATGTCCCTATTTAATGGTACTTTCAAACTTGTTAAAATAAGTAAATTACCATAATGACCTTCACTATGTGTCTACATATTGTATATATGTAAATGAAAGCCTCACATATAGACTAAATATATACAGTATCCCACAGGTGTAATGAGAGCTGTGAATACCCTTAAGAGTTTAAAATATATTGTGTTTAATAAAATCGATGGCATTTTGAATTAAGTTGAAATATTGATATGTTAAGAAAGGCGTATATTATACGTGTATGAAAGTGTATGAACTGTTACCTATTTAAGTCCTGTAGCTAATATTTCTTTCAGTTTCACAAACTCTCCCATGCATCATGGACAATTAAATAACAATTTACTTTACCTTCAATGAAGTGTTAATTATGCCATTAACAAAATAAACGTCTTAGGTTTAAATTTCACAAAATTAAAAAGAAATAAATAGCTAATTATGTAGTTGCCAGGGCCTCCAGGGTAAGACAAGGCAAAGACTGTTCTCCTATTTGATTTATGACGTTTAAAATAAAAAGCTGCACCCTTGATTTAATGAGAAAATTAAAAGTTTTGCCTGAATATATTAGATTGGTTTTTGGTAATAAAATGGTTTTTACTTGACACATCTCTAATGCAAGAAGTTTATAATGTACAGATTTAACTGTGCTGTCATTAATTATGAACAATTTTGAGAAATTGTTTTTTTTTACTTAAATTTCAAAATTGCAGTCCACTATAGTTGATTATGGACATGTATTTCATTGAAAGGAAACTGTCATATGGGAAACTGACTGTGAATTTTAGAGATAAAAAAAATAAAGAATTTTGTTGTTCTAGTTTTGATTTGATGATAGATTTACCCGATATTTACCCACAAGAACTGAATACCATTGGAAGCGGCGCTGACCAAGATCTTCAAGCATATGCATGCCTATGTATATATATGTACGCTGTTGCCAAATACCTGATCTGAGTCTGACAGTTCATATTTAAGCCATGTGTCATGACAAAACCAACATAATGAATTTGCGACCAGCATGGATTCAGACCAGCCTGCACATCCGCGCAGTCTGATCAGGATCCATGCTGTCTGCTATCAGTTTCTCTACTTGTTATAGGATTGTAAGCAAACAGCATGGATCCTGATCAGACTGCACAGATGCACAGGCTGGTGTCGCAAACCCATTATGTTGGTTTTGTTATGACGCGGCTCAATTATTATTTTTGAAAGTTTATAGATTGGATAAGTCTATATAAGATATCTAGCATTGAAAGAGTTAAAGGAAGTCTCTGCAGATGTTTTTAATGTGACATGAAGACATTTAAACACTTAATGTGACAGAGAAAGTTTCTCGAGTTATGTTTACTTATGTTTAAACTTATATGTTAACGTGACCTTCACCATTGAATGTATTTAGATTTGTTATTGTCTTTCGACTTGAAGTTTAAGAGCAGAATTTATTACATTTAATGAATTTCATGCATTATTTTGCATTATTTAATAACCAGTCCAGTCTCGTGACACTCATATTGAAATAATATTTGACCGATTGTGAAAATAAAATAAATTGACATTTTTTGTAGTGACAAGTTTTTCCCTGAAGCTATCTATCTTATATACTAATATCAGTTCTGTCTAGTATGTCATTTGTTGTCCTACTGTCCCCATAGGGTCATAGGTCATTTGTCTAGGTCAATCAGCTGTAAAATTTCCCAGAAGGCTTTTAAGTAAGCTTCTAGTGATCAAGATTTACAAAGTTATGATCCGTCAGTGACACTTATTGCTTGTGTTGTCTTTTAGCTTATTTGATTTTTTCTGAATAATTTTTGTGCCCCTGGATTAATATATATCTGTCACAGGGTGAGAAAAATGTTCAGTCTGAACGGGACTGGAACCCGGGACCCTCGGAATACCGTACCACGACTCTGCCGACTGAGCTATTAGGCCGCTTACATAATATCTTCTTCCTTCAATAGTGAACAGTTCTGCACCGTGACATATCTGAGGGCATATTTTTGTGTGTATGTCTGTCTGTTTGCTTGTCATAAAACTTTAACCATGCAGTTGACCATTCCATTGAGGTTTATCCCTCTACAACCTCAAAACTTCACAGGTGCATGCATGCACCTTAAAGTGCCTTACTGACCAGACCTTTGTGGAGCTCACAGCTAGGGGCAAACTGGTTCAGGTCTGCCTAGGGACATGGGAGTTCAGTGGAGTGTAGCCCTTCTTTTCATCATTTATGACGTTCGGTCCATTGACTAATTATGAGCATGTCAGTGTAGTGCCAGCCAAATAAGATAGAGTAAAACCCAACAAAAAAGTTCTTTGTTGGACAGAATGACCCAGACAGATATTTTACTAACTTATAGCTCTTACATAAAAAAGTTACATTTGGATGAGACTTGATATAGTAAATGGTACAAGTAGACTGTAAATCTGTAGGATTTTCACAGAAGGGGATGCCATAAGTGTTACACTGTACTTGCTATGTTATTAGAACACTTAACTTATAATGGGCAAAATGGTGTCTTCTGTTCAGATCAAGAGTTCAAACTGTTTAATACCTTTTAATCATGTCTACAATTTTTATTGATCTGTCAGGAAAGAAATTCCACTCCAGGGATTATATGTCAGATTTAAAACACATGATTATATCATTAAGGAATTAAGAGAAAGTCTAATTAACCTTTATTAAGTCTGAGCTTTAGTAGAGTGATCATTTTGCTTTTAGATCATGTATTTTATCATGAATGGAAAATTCCTAGATAGTATTTATATCACTCACTTTAATTGCCTGTTGACAGATGGAGTTTGACTCCCTACCCCAGTGCTACATACTGTAATTTTAAGGTGGTCTTCATTTGAACATCTTATTTGCAATAGACTTAACTCTGGAACCAATAATATATATTTTTTCCCGCCTAGCTAATTTGGGAGTACAAACAAACTTTTACAGTTACAGCTTCAAAAATAAGTGCAACAGGTTGATTGACTAATCTATTGTGACGGGTAGTGCACCATGTAGCTATAAGTTTGTCCTGGGGGATAAGCTTGGAAAACCCCACTATTGCTGAGCTCTGGATAACATCTGTTTCAAGGGCTATTTTAGATATCAATTTAATACTGAAACTGCCAATGGTATCAGGTCAGACTGCATTGATGATAATAAACTTTAATAAACATTAAAAGAAGTATTATTGTGTATATAAAAAAAGCTTGGTTCTAATTATTAAAGGTTGGTTGGACCAAAGGCTATATTACATTGCAACAAATTTCAAATATTGCAACTTTTCAAGAGCAGTTGATAAAATTAATGATCAAGTGAAAGGTAAACAAGAAACAAATAAAATGAATATCACTGACTAATGACATCCCTTTAAGCAAGTTACTTATATATGTATTTTGTATCACTGTAGATGTGTTGTACATATTGTAAACAAGGCTGTTTTATGTTAGGTAATTGTCAAAAAAAAAAACTGCACTGGATAATTGAAGAGAAATTTAACTTCCTTTTTTTTGTTGCCAGTTGTTTTTGCCAATTAGATTGCTTGAATTGAACAATTTTGACAAATTTTTGGTGAAATGTTATTAACTTGTATTAACTTATATTGCTATGGTGACAAAAAAAATTACACAATAATTTATCTGTGTTTTTGATATGAGATTTAATTCCTTATTAAAGATTTACATTTCCTGCTTTCGAGAACGGCCAAATTCCTGTTCAAATGAAATTAAGTTCTGATATTTTTTAGAAGTTTTATGTTTGTTTTGTCATAAAAGTTAAAGTCTTCTAATTATGTTTTTAAAATTGGGCCGGAGGCCTTAAAGCGAATAAAGTATTTGTATTGTATTGTATTGTATATGTCAGGTTCATATTCTTTCAATTATCATGTGCAAGAGTGCAGTAATATTTTAAATTATAAATGCATTTTTCTTTATATATGTAAATGTATCTTTTATTGATCATTGAATCTTAGTTAATCATAAATAATAATATTATCAATATCATAACTATCAGGTTAATTTTAATTGGTTAAATCTGCAACTATGAAAATAGTATAGACACTTTTCAAAGCTATAAACACTGTACTTGATGTTACAATTTTTTATTTCACATATATGACAGCTATTTGTTACAATAATAAAACAGTTTAACAATAAAAAAGGAAAGGCCAGGCCTTGTTAACTTTGACCTTTTAGTTTTCACATTACAATTTGATTACAAATTGATCACCTAGATTGCCTAATTTGGATTATAAAACTATAGTTTGACCAAGAGGTTTAGTGCATGACCTATAAAAGTGTAGTTTGAACACCTTTCAGGTTTTATTGAGCAAAATACACCCTACAAATGTTGACGAGATGTTTTTTGTTTTTTTTATAGAAAAGAAAATTAATGTCCTTGTATTAGATATACAAAAAAAATTTACTTTTATATTTATGCAAGATCTGAGTTAATGATGACTGCCAACTTCCTGCTCGCAAAACATTGAAATTATATTTTTTAAACAACAAAATTTTGTTTACACAGTGAATAGTATATTCTATTAGGAATTGCTGGCTGTTTGTATTCAAATACCATCAGTGGGCAAGCAATAATGTTTCCTTAAGCAAAAATTTAACACTTATTCCTAAGACAGTACTGGTTGGTTCCAGGAACGTATTTTTTGAGTGTGTTGATAAGCTAATTAAAAATATAGCTTCCTAAACAATTAAACTAAAATAAATTCTGTATGAAAAAAAAAATGATTTTAACTCCAGACTTTTTTCTCTATGTCTTGAAGGGGTTTAAGTAACTAAATTCTGATTGACCCTTGTATTATATATAGCCACATAAGGGGGATGGTTTAGGTTTCTCACAGGGATTGGGGGTTCGAGCCTAAATTTATTCCACATGGCAATTTATTACTTATAAATACATGACCGTGTGTTATGATCACTAGTCAACTTAAAAGTTAAGTTTATATATAATTACTGGTTTATGGTAAAGGTTAAGATATCCTGTTTGGTTATGAGAAAGGTGATATATTATAAATCTGATGGTATACGGTATGCATTGAAATTTTAACGAAATTTTGATACTAACATTCAACAATTTGTTTCAGTATTTTTAGGGATAATGTCAAATAAAACAATGTTTATATGGCCTTCTTAACCACAATAATACTAACATAAAATGCTGATAGAAAAAGTGTAAATTGTAACCATTATTGTATGTTATCTACTGAGCATTAATGTCCTTGTAAACAAAATGACTTGACATGAAACATTCAATGTACCTGTTCTTGCATAAATCTAATACGATTTATAATAGGGTCAGTGGTCAAGGCTGTAGTATAGTAGATACATGAGTCATTATTATGGTCATCATTGTGGTCAAATCAACAAAATATAGTAGAAACTTATAGAAATGTTATATTATTGTATTACCTGTGTATCAGTCTTCTTTTTGACATTAAATTGTTTTAAGAAGTATGTCAGATATGTGGATATCAATTAACCAATTAATTGTTTCAAGTTTGTAACTACTGCAGTAAATGTCTACACATGTTTAACATATTATAACCAAATGTGATTAAATAGCCTTAAATTGTCACCAGTATAAAACGTGTGAGACTAAAGAAAAAGTGTCGGTCTTTAAGTACCACACTAAATACTGTATTCCGGTATATAATGGACAAGCTAGGCGCTTGAATCGATTAAATTCTAAAATCTCGCCATTTTCACCCTCCAAAATGCACTGTAGGACTTCTAATTCATCTCTTCACACTAATTTATATATGGCCATGAATGAAAAATGTAGGAATCGGTGAAAAGAAAACAATATTTTTCTCCTTTGCAATCATAATTTCTGCAAGCGTTTGCAAGGTACTGCTCCAACACTGTTGTGAATTAAATCCATCAAAAGTCAGACCAGCCTGGCTGCACATAACTTCCATACAGACTCTATATGCAGTTTGTAGCTAAATTTTTGTATCTCGGTAATTGAAATCCCTTATAGTTCAATAGACTCTTCCAAATAAGTGAAATATGTTACATATAATCAAAGTAAGTCTATAAAAGCAGGACACATCCACTTCAGAAATTCGGCAGATTAAACAGGTGAATTTTGTTGATATTTTTTCCATTTTCTTCAATTATCAAATATTTGTATATGTTTTCTTTCAGAATGCTGTTCAAGACATCCCATTTCGTCATAATCAGATTGGAGTACAACAACAACTTGAGACTTTACAAGGCGAGGCTGAGGGCATCAGACCACTAAAACGCAAAGTTGATGAATTTCGAAAATCTAAGGTAATAGTCTTAATCCAGATTTATACATTTTTTAGAGTCGATGACTTCTAATCCAATTACCTCTCTGGCATGGGTTCGATCCCAGGGAGATGCTTTGGTAGTTTACACGGAGGAAGGTAGTCTAGTACTGGTGTAACTCTCCAGGAACGATGGTTAGGAAACTACCTGCCTATATGACTGAAATACTGTTGGAAAAAGACGTAAAATGAAACAAACAAACAAAACAAATACATTTTTTATTTTTTGTGTTTTTGTAGCAAATCCAGGGGTAAAAACAAATTTTTTTCAGTGAGAACAAATTAGCGCAACAGGTTGAATGATCTATTGTGAATGGCAGTGCACCATGAAGCTCAAATTAATGGTAAAAGTTTGTTTGCACTAGGGAAGTAGCTTGGAAAAACCCACATTTGCCGAGTTCCTGATACCTATTAAAACTATCAAAATAGCACAATAATTTGTTATTTAAGTTGCATAGCTATAAAGTGTGTGAATTTGAAACTTAGAAGTCAATTTTGTATTTACAGAATGGAAAAAGAAATAAGATTGTTTTTCTATGACTGCAAGAACTGATAATACTGTTGGCTTCTTTAAATTAATTGTCAAAGCATTTTATTATTTAAGTATAGCTAAAATCTGACTTCAGCAAACAGGTTTCGTATATTTGCTAGGGACCTATTTACTGTCACACAACATCAAAATAAAAGCGACAATTTAAGTTATGGAAGCTAGAACTTAGATTAAGTAAATTGATTACAAATTCTAAACAAAGCATGTCTGATGAATTTAAGGAAAGTTACAAATGAAGAGTGTTATTGTAAAGATACTATTAGGAATCTTTATTTTTGAAATGTCATTTTAAGTGTTTATTTTTCTTTTCAGAAACACACAAAAGAAGTTCCAGTTTTGGAGGCAGAATTTGCTTTATTAGAGGTAAGCTTACCTTGCTTTAAGCATTATCTTAGTAGGTGTTTTAAAATATTGTATAAAATCTGCACCTTTTTTGTTGATACAAGACAAGGCATTTATACTGATTTTCCATCATTATTATCAGTTTAATTGTACAATTTGGCAGTTTCTTCTTAAGTGTTTATAATACCTTTAGAACCACAATTTTTCATTGGTTATTGTAAAAGAGGTGTCACTTTCAAACTGAAATTGACCAATGAAAACAGGTTTTGCTTGGGAGTAAATTTTTTTCAAATGAACAAAATTTAATTTGCTTAGTAATGAATGGTCCAGGTTTCCGAAATTAATGTTTTTAAGATTGTTGTGTGTTAGATTGTAGTGAGGAATTTTAAGGAGTCACTAAAAAGCTATAGATTAACCTCGAACCTCTCGTAATGGGCAGCATTCCTTTAACTTGTACTACAGAGCTATTTTCTATTTTTTATTTGACCCAAATATTTCCGATAGGACGGCTATACTTTATGCTATTTATTTATTCATTTTGATAGTATTATACAGTCATTACGGCATTCAATATATAGATAAAAACCTTATTTATTGTTCAAATTTTGATGAAAGATAGAAGTGTTTGTTATCAATTTTAATAAAAAGGGCGTTATCAACTTGATACTCGTATACAGCTACTACCTTTGTCTATATTGATACAAGCACTCGAAACTTGAAGATATTTATGTTCGATCATTGATAAATAAGCAAATAAGAAGTTTGCGTAAGTCATTCTGAATGCTTATATTTGATACATCAAGAGTTTACTTCAGATAAGATGCTTCGTAAATTTAGACGCCATCGTTATCGTTTTAATACTACTGAGTGTCAATATACTTGCCTTCGCTATCGTACATTCTTAATTCACTGTCCTCTAATATATCAGAAAAAGAATCATTTTGAGACAGTCCCTCAGTGGTTGTTTAATGCGTTATTAATGCCCGTGTTCGAAAACTACAAACTTATAAAGTATGAAGTGTATGATTACCTGAAAAGAAATACGATACCAGTAAAGTGTGACTTTACCCTACAGAAATGGTTACACAAATTCTGTTTTGTATTGTTATGTTGTCGAAAATATCCTTTTTCAAACGTATCTGTTCAAACAAACGTATCTTTTTGAGCACAGTTAATCTTCGTTACATCTGCATTCTTAGATTTGAAATAATGAATGGAATGATATAGTTGTATTATTTTTAGGGGAAGCACGTTTTTCAATCAATAGGTCGTAAATCACAGATAAATATATTCCGTTATTCATGTTTGATATATATCGTATTTTATCAATATAAATTATATACAGCCATAATGCATTCCATTCTGTATGATATGAAATTATTATTCCCATTTTATTTATGCACATAATGTTGAATGTACAAGTATGAATGTTGAATATACATGTATGGGTAATCTTAAATAAGAAGTATGAAGTACTGGTTTATTTTAATAATAAGTAAAGATCAGCCTTAATTTTTTGTTATAATAAATATTTGAAAATAATCTTTTATAAAATAATGTTTGCATGTTTAGATTAATTTATTTTCAAAATGTGACAACTGAGGCATTCTGAGCGTGACACGTTTAAAAGATCTGTGCAGTATAATCTTTCCCATAATATTGTACTATATAAATATAAATGACTGAGATAGTATTACAGTATTTAGATTTTCCTCCAGTCAATTTTGTCTGCGATTGGTCAGTTTCATTCTAAGTTCTTGTGCCTTTGAAGCAGTTAATTAGTTGACTCTGTACCAGCTTGTTGTTTCCATCATCATGATCATGGGTCCAATTGACTTTGGCCCTGTAGATAATACCTGGGGGCCCCTGATGGGTCTGTTCATTTAGGATGCCTGATTCAAAGTAATTTACCTTTTGGCTTAAATTTGGCTTTTATGGATGCAGAGGAGGTCATCAGGTTGAGACTTAATAGGGGGTCAGTGGTTTGAACTCATGGTGCATAAAGTATTGCAATGTGTGACCTGAGTAACTCAACCATAAAATCTCCATTTTGAAAAGGTTTTTGATCAATTCGACTGATCTTTGTTATACAGTTTTGTTGTATCTCTGGTCAATTTTTATAGACATATATACATGGTTATTGTTATCGCACCGTGAGACATAAATAGATGTCATAAAATAGCTGTCTAAATTGAACAATGTCTTTCTCACAAAATTATGTATACGGTATTGTCCAATGTGACGGGAAAACATTGTCCAACTTCTGTTTTAACAAAAACAAAAAATTTACATCAAGGATGAGACGCTGGATAATTTGCATCATGTTTTCAATTTCTTGCTTTCGGCTAGCCAGTATCATTATCATACATGTGGTGTTTTGTCTGCGTTTTGTTACATTAAATTGTATCTTAATTAACCCTTCACCTGCTGAATTTGCATAATGGATTTGCCTTACTTATAATTTGAAACAGTCTATTTGAATATAAAGGGATTTCATTAATCATATACAAAATAATCAGCTTCCAACAGTCATGAAGCGTGGTATAAACCAACATGGAATTGTAGGCAGGCTTCACTCTAAGTGCATACTAAAAGGAACTCCACTGAGGTCCATTATTAAAAGCCTAAAAATTTGATTTTCTTACATTGTAAGTGCCTTACAACAAAAAGATATTCAAGAGATAATTAAGAAATATAATCAGAAATTGTTTGAAAATCGTATTTTAATGCTATATTTAGCCAGATTTTAGTGAAAGGCTTTTCAATTTTGGACCATTTTTCACAATTGTAACATTTGTTCTGGAAATAAAAAAAAGTGAGCAAGTGATCTGAAATTTTAGCTCCCAAGTTACTGGTCTAGATCTACATCAAACGGAACATTTATCAAAAAATTGTTTCTGCTAGCTTCATTGTCAAAAAACCTCAGTGGCAAAGGCTGAAGGCTTTTGTTTCTAATGTTATGGGTCACTATGTAAATTTGAACACCATCAGGCATCTGTATCACATAAACTACCTGTCTAAAACGTTAATTGTTTTGTTGAAAAATGTTTTTTTGTGTATTGAAACATCAAACATATACAATAAGTGCATCTCTTATCTAAATGGGTTTGTTATACCTTGTTTTTTTCAATTAGGGATTCACTTTGCCTAATTGAAAATTGAGACAAAATTGTAAATCAAGGGCATTTTTTTGTGGTACTTAATGCGTTTGTTAAACATCGTAAAACATAGTAAATAAGGAAGTTTTGTACTATAGATACTGATGCTAAAATACTGACCTTATTATTTAAGTTACATATTGCAGATTTTGCGATTCATCCCACTCTCTTAAACATTCTTGAAAGAAAAAAAGGGTTTTTTTGTTTTGTTTTTTTTGGCAAACATAAATTATATATTCTGGAATTTTGTGATTATGGCATTGTGGCTATATTAGTAACACTTTCAAGTGTTATATATAGCCTAGATACTAATATATTTGAGCAACATCATGACAAAACCAACGTTATGCATTTGCGACCAACATGGATCCAGACCAGACTGCACATCCGCGCAGTCTGATCAGGATCCATGATGTTCGCTATCTAAGTTTCTCTACTTTTTATAGGGTTTGTAAGCAAACAGCATGGATCCTGATCAGACTGCGCGGGTGCGCAGGCTGGTCTGGATCCATGCTGGTCGCAAACGCATTATGTTGGTTTTGTCATGACACGGCTCATTTATTATTTTGTTCATTACAGGACCAGGCTCATCAGAAAAAAAGATGTTTGGAGACAGTGTTGTATGTCAGTGAAGTAGAGAATCTCTTCCAGGTACGTACATACATGTCTATAGCAAAATGATAAAAACTGGTACAAGATATTAACATATATTATATTCTTTCAAACCTGGGAATGGAGTATGTTTGTTTGAGAGCATATATATTGAAATTTAAGGCGCGTTCGTGGCAAGTGGTTATTAGGTCCTTAACGCCTCTGAACTCTGTAGGTTCCAGCCATGCCAGTGTCTTCAGGTTCTTCCATCATAGTGAGAAAGCTTTAATTAACCTACATACTTATTTGTAACTAATTAACATAAACTAGCTATTTTGTCTGGGCCAATTTACTGTAACTGATAAAATTAAATTAAAAAAAGTTTTAATTAATTTCTATAAATATTATACTTTGATTAGCTAGTGTCTGTGAAAATATACCTGACCTATTTCTCAGTCATGTAGAATAGGATATAGAATGTGGTTATGAAGCTTTTTAGAATTATGTATAGTCTAAACTAAGGAAGATCTCTTCTTATGATTTACTTGCCAATTATCACTGCAAAGAAGATTTCTTATGATTTACTGCCAATTATCACTGCAAAAAAGATTTCTTATGATTTACTGCCAATTATCACTGCAAAAAAGATTTCTTATGATTTACTGCCAATTATCACTGCAAAGAAGATTTCTTATGATTTACTGCCAATTATCACTGCAAAGAAGATTTCTTATGATTTACTGCCAATTATCACTGCAAAGAAGATTTCTTATGATTTACTGCCAATTATCACTGCAAAAAAGATTTCTTATGATTTACTGCCAATTATCACTGCAAAAAAGATTTCTTATGATTTACTGCCAATTATCACTGCAAAGAAGATTTCTTATGATTTACTGCCAATTATCACTGCAAAAAAGATTTCTTATGATTTACTGCCAATTATCACTGCAAAGAAGATTTCTTATGATTTACTTGCCAATTATCACTGCAAAGAAGATTTCTTATGATTTACTTGCCAATTATCACTGCAAAGAAGATTTCTTATGATTTACTTGCCAATTATCACTGCAAAGAAGATTTCTTATGATTTACTTGCCAATTATCACTGCAAAGAAGATTTCTTATGATTTACTTGCCAATTTTCACTGCAAAGAAGCCAACAATAAAATTTGCATGGTCTGTCTGCACAGATCCTTTTTTACAAAATAAAAAAGGATAAAATTTAAAACAGAAGAATTTTAGGATACTCATCTGGCCCTTTCTATTCATTAAAGGCCCATTACAGTGTTACACAACTGAAAACTAAACCATTAGCATTGATTTTGAATAAGAAAATATACATACATGAACTAAAATATTCCCTTTTAATCTTTAGTGTAAATCAATAAATTTAAATACCAATAGTTAAAAGTTGTTTAGTTTTTTTACGCTTTGAAGTTTTCATCAGAAAGCTTTTAATATATGAAATGACTTAAAATGTCAGTAACTTTAAAATACCATTCATTATAAAAGGTGTGACAAAGTAACTAGTAAGGTAAACATGGAGCTTTAAACATGTTGAAGTTTTATGAAGTTGTTAAAGTGTTATTACCATGTTTGTATGTGGCATTTAACAATGAAAAGCTTGTTTACCTAAATCTGTATGTATAGAATCTACCACTGTCATTCATGCTATCCTTAGATCAGCACTGAAAAGTAGAGAAGAGAGTTAAGTTCAATTATAGAAGGAAGTAAGTTTAGTAAGGGAAGAGAGTAAGTTTGGTAAGGGAAGAGAGTTAAGTAAGTTTGTCAGTACGGTAAGAGTGTAAGTTAAAGTAGGGAAGAGAGTTAAGTTCAGTTATTTAGGGAAGAGAGTCAAGTTCAGTTATTCAGTAAGGAAAGAGAGTAAATTTAGTTAGGGAAGGGAGTAAGTTTGATTTGGGAAAAGAGTAAGTGAAGTTTTGAATGAAAGAGTAAGTGAAGTTTGGGATGTGCACATCTTAAAGTTTAGGAAGAGGGTAAGATAGGTTTTTGAAAAAAGAGTAAGTTAAGTTTGGGAAATGAGAGTAAGTCAATGTTAAAAAGAGAGTACCCTTAGTAAGGGAAGAGAGTATTTATTAGTTTAAATAGGATAAAGAGATATTTTAATTTGGGAAAAGAATAATTGAAGTTTTGGTATGTGCATCATTTGAAGTTTAGGAAGGGAGTAAGATAAGTTTTGGAAAAAGAAAGTAAGTTTAGTTTGGGAAAAGTGTCAGTTGAAGATCAGGAAGAGAGTAGGTTTAGTTTGGGAAAAGAGGGTGAGTTCAGGTTTAGAAGGGGAGTAAGTTTTGTAAGGGAAGAGAGTAAGTTTTAGCTTTGGTAAAATTCAGTAAGTATAGTTTTGGTTCCATGTTAATATAAGTTGATGTTACGGATTCCTGTGGCTTGTTTCCTTAAGAAATAAGTTTCTTGAATGAGAAAGTTTATAAAATGCCTGTGATATCCTGTTGTGGAAGGTAAATTACAGAATTGATCTGGAAATTGTCACAATGTTCATAGAGAAGATTATCCTCAATTGTCACAACACCTTGCCATTTGATTACGGTTGACAGTTTTATATACAGACCCTTTGCCATTTGAATGTGCATGTTTTGAATGTTTTGAAATTCTTATCAGCAAAAAGTGGCAGTAATAATTGTCTTCATTTCTTATTTCTTTTGACAGTTATGTTGGTTTGACATAATTTGTTCAAATTATACCAGAAGTATTGAATGAAAGAGCATTGATATTAAATATTGTCAATTCAGTGAATTCTATTATTAAAGAGTAAACTTTATGCAGTGAGAGTATAAAAAACACATTATTTTCAATAGAAGGGCAATAGAGTGTGAAAAGTATGAAGATTATATCATTAGATTTTTCAGCCTTCAAATTGAATTTTTTTGAAAGCGAAGTCGTTTTCGTTTCAATTAATCAAAGCGATAGGAGTGACTTGAGTGTTTTGTACCTTTAACTTCTTGTGAATCGATGGCGAGTCGAGCGAACGTAATTGATTAGGTACAAACAAACTGCGTGGGGAAAGAATAATAGATGCGACTGTATTAGGAGTGCAAGAAATTGAATGTTGCATGTTCACTGTATATAAATTCTTAATAGTATGATAGGTATTGTAATGTGTAAGGCCAAGAGAATATTTTTCACTGTGCCATATAGGCCAAATAAATGTATATATTTCACTCTTTGCTTGGTCGGAAGGTATGTTTCACTAGGTCATAGACTCAAAATATATATGAATATACATGTATGTCACTGTCGGCTAGGTCTAAAATATATGAAAATTACTTTTTGATTGGCCAGATTTATATATTTCTAGACCAATTTATTGTGCAAAAAAGAATTAATTATAACATTGCATATATGACTTTACCCACCCTTATACCTTGATAAACAATTCCTTAGTTTCTTGAGGAAAATATATTTGAGCTTTAGATGATTTTTTGTTGTTGTAAAATTGCAGAATGTACAGACGGATTTTGAAGAGAGAGCACTATACCTCACAGAGAGGAGGGGCGTGTTTGACAGCATATATAGGCGGGAACATATGGAAAACTCCTCCCGCATGCATAGGGTAAATAGTTTCGACTCTTCTCCTCCATGTTTATGAACTTTTATTAAAACATTATAATTTTCCCATAGGAATTGAAACATTTGTTTTACTTGTAATTTGAAAACCTTTTAGTTTATACAGATTTATTTTAGTTTGATTATGTTGGAAGCTTAGAATAAGCTTATTGAAACATTCTTGAATCCTTTCCTGGAACCAACCAGTACTAAGCAATGAGTGTAAAGCTTCATGCTCAAGGAAACAACAGCTTGTCCCTGACGGGGACTCGTGCGACCAGCAATCCTTAGATCACTACTCCGACGCGTTAAAAACCTTTTTGTTACAAAGATGTAGCAAAATAGTAGATATGTTAATTAAACATGTCCTATGTAGGGTATAGAAATTTGTCATGATTTATATAATTATGAATGTTTCATTTTAATTTTCAAATATTTAAGTTCTGAAAATATTTTAGCACTGCATTTTGATGGTGATATCATTTAACAATGTGTATATTTGTTATGTTATATTTTCAGGACTGTGTATACACTCTTAGAAAAAGTTGGAGTTGGTTAGGTACGGTGGCACGATGTATGGAAATACACTTAGCTAATGCTTCAGAGTATCACCAGGTAATTTTGTTACATTATAGTTATAATTTATTGTTAAGATGATGATGATAATAAGTACATGTGAATGACCCCAGTATAGAGACAGGTTATTCATCATTACGGTCCACTACTGCCAGGCTCTATACTGTTATATACCCAATTTTATTAAAGGAACTCCACTAAGGTACAAAGGCCTTAAAAATATAAAACTTGAAAATGTTACAAAGATCAAGTGGGAAACTTAAAATTGAAAAATCTGCAAACAATGATAAGGAAGTATGCAAAATATTTAATCCAAAATCATTTTTTTTGTGTGATCCCTAGCCGGATTTGATTGAAAATCACTGCAAGGCATTTCAATCTGGGGGTACTCTGGGCTTTAAAAATGATTATTCTGGAAAAGTGGGTCGAAAGAATGACATCAAATACAGGAGGGAACAAGTTATTAAGACAGACCTACAACAATTGGTACACCAGTCCATTCCCACCATATCAAAATACCTCCATGGAGTCCCTTTAATTTGATATTGAAATCCCGTAATTTTTTATTGGCTGTCACAAATTAAATATGGATCAAGAATACACAAACTTTAGGTAGTAGGTGTTTAGGATTTTTGGATTTATATACTATTAAGGTACATATTAGGTAAATTGTGCTAGGCAGTGATATTCCTATTGAATATTCAGTTTAACTAATTTCTAACTAGATTACAATGTCAATAATAAAACTACTTGATATTTTAATTAATTTATATTGGTTCCTTTAATAAAAAAAAAATCCGTAGGAAGCAGGTTATAGTGTGCACTGATTATCTTGTATACTTGAAATATCGTAGATTTTATTTGAGCCGACCATAGTGCATTTGCGACCAGCATGGATCCAGACCAGCCTGCGCATCCGCGCTGTCTGATCAGGATCCATGCTGTTTGCTTACCAACCCTTTTACAAGTAGAGAAAATAATAGTGAACAGCATGGATCCTGATCAGACTGCGCGGATGTGCAGGCTGGTCTGGATCCATGCTGGTCGCAAAACCTTCATGTTGGTTTTGTCGTGACGCGGCTCATTTGTTATTTGATATCTAATTTGGTTTGTAATTTTTTTTTTCTCGCAGTTTTTTCACGACTCGCAGTATCTGTATGAGGACATGCAGATTTATCTTACTTGGCTGAACTCGGAGAACATGAGAGAAAGAGTGGAGACGTTAGAACCGGGTACCATCATCAAACATATCAGGGTATGTAACTCTTGTTGACTATTTTTATTAAAGGGAAGTAATAAAAATAAGACCTTTTTCTCAGTTTGCAGGAGAATGATTATTGAATGTCAAATAACCGCCTTCGTGGTCGAGGGGTTAGAGTCGATGACTTCTTCTAATCCAGTTACCTCTCTGGCGTGGGTTCAATCCCCTGGAGATGCTGTGGTAGTTTAGCGCGGAGGAAGGTAGCCTAGTACTGGTGTAACTCTCCAGGAATGATGGTTAGGAAACTACCCGCCTATATGACTGATATACTGTTGGGAAAAGGCGTAAAATGAAACAAACAAACAAACGAATGTCAAATCAGGCAGTAGAGCAGTACTATGTAAAAATTTGAGCTGTTGATGTTTCTTTTTCCCTCAACAAGTGATATTAAGTTTATTGAATGGAAGCAAGAAAACATTAATTTATTATAGTCTATAGATATCAATTTGGAAAAATCAGTGATTTTGACTTACAAATAAATTATAAATAAAATGACAAAAAAATCACTAGCATCACAGGCCAGCATTGTTATGATTTATGGTTATGCTCTTGCATGCAAGTTGCTTACTCTAAAACTACTAAAGGGAATGGGTTCAAAACTTCACACACTTATTCTCTGTGATTTATCTTACATGATGGGCATAGGTTCCATAACTCTGACTAACCTTTTTACTGGGAAGAGTTATGTCCCTTTCTACCTGTCGAGCACTGTGAATATTCCACTGCGCTGTCCAAGCTGTGGATTAATTTGAAATAAAAGATAAATTTCAGATATAATTTTAGCCAGACAAAATATATGTAATGTTTGAATTTATTTGTAGGATGTGACTAATACATTGTTAGATTATCAGTCGCGAGTTGAGAAACTGAGTACAAGAAGTCACGAGGTGTACCCCATACATTTGAGAAAAGACATTGAAGAGTATGGAATCAAAGGAAGGGCATTAGTGGATTACCAACATCAAGAGGTATATTGAATTGTTAACTGCAAATTTTTATTTGTTTGGCCAATCATTTTTGGCCTATTACTTTTGACTGATTATTTTTGGCCTATTATTTTTGACTGATTATTTTTGGCCTATTATTTACAGTTCAGAATAGAAGAAATTATTTTAATCATTTTATTAGAAGAAATATTAAAATTTTGTCATCAAGTCTGCTAATAAAGATCTGTCATGGTTAATTGAACAAAAGTTTGTACTTTCTTATAAGTATTTGATTTTCAAAATGTAATTGAATTACTGCAATATTATAAAAAATAGATAATTCTTTTAAGTAGAGAGAGGTGTACTTGTGGTAAAGGTGATTTCTTTTACCCAGGGATCATGGGTTTGACCTCTACTTGGGTCATAACCATGTTTCCTCAAATGATACCATTACTGGTTAGTTTCTTGTTGTTAGTTTCCTGTTGTTAGTTTCCTGTTGTTAGTTTCCGGTTGTTAGTTTCTGGTTCAAGCAATCTTTAGAGTAATTTGAAGGAGTTTTCAGCTTTTTATCACAATCAAAACAAGTGAAAATAATAATGTTAAAACCAAACCACCTTTATATATTCTATTTTCTTTTATTTAAATTTAGGTGACATTGAAAGATGGGGAAGAGTGTATTATATTGAACAATACAGATTCTGACAACTGGCAGGTAAATATGTATACATCATAATATAGTGATTTTTATTCTCAACATAATAATGACACTGTGCTATCACAATGTGATTACATGTAGTGTGTAGAGTTTTAAACATAACATAATTTTCTCTGTGTGTAGTCAGAAAATGTTTATTTTACATTGCAAAAGAGACTGTATAATAATTATCAGATTTTTTTTCCAGATATCATATTTGAGCATGATATATCTTAAATCTTTTAAGAAGTCACTTAAAAAGATTGACATTGTTTTATTAGAAAGGTGATAGATTTTGTTGACAAAATTGAGCCGCGTCATGACAAAACCAACATAGTGCGTTTGCAACCACCATGGATCCAGACCAGCCCTTGCATCCGCGCAGTCTGATCAGGATCCATGCTGTCGTTATCAGTTTCTCTACTTGTAATAGACTTGGTAAGTGAAAACCATTATGTTGGTTTTGTCATGACGAGGCTCAAATCTTCCTTATTTTGTAGATAAGATGTTCTGATGGAACAGAGGCTGAGGTTCCAGGAATTATACTTGTTATACCACCACCTGACAAGAAGGCTTATAACGAAGCTGACAGGTATGATTTTCCAATTTCCATATTTTACTGAGATTTTACAGTTTACTGAGATTTTACTGTTTACTGAAATTTCACAATTTACTGAAATTTCACAATTTACTGAAATTTTACAATTAACTAAAATCTTCCATTTTACTGAGATTTTACAGTTTACTGAATTTTTTACAATTTACTGATATTTTACAGTTTTGCCAATTACTAAAATTTTTAACCAGGTTTTCAATTTTGAAAATCCTGGTTATTAGATTGGGGTATGGCGGGCGGATGGGCGGATGGGCGGATGGGCGGCTGGGCGGATGGGCGGGCGTCAAACGAAATTGTGTCCGCTCTGTAACTCTTCAACCCTTTGAAGAATTTTGATGAAACTTCAGACAAATGTTTACCACATCAAGATGACGTGCAGAACGCATGTTCCGCATGGCTGGCTCCAAGGTCAAGGTCACAGTGACATTAACATTGAAAATCCTGTCCGCTCTGTAACTCTTCAACCCTTTGAAGAATTTTGATGAAACTTCAGACAAATGTTTACCACATCAAGATGACGTGCAGAACGCATGTTCCGCATGGCTGGCTCCAAGGTCAAGGTCACAGTGACATTAACATTGAAAATCCTGTTTACATGATTTTAACTTCGGGCCTCAAACGAAATTGTGTCCGCTCTGTAACTCTTCAACCCTTTGAAGAATTTTGATGAAACTTCAGACAAATGTTTACCACATCAAGATGACGTGCAGAACGCATGTTCCGCATGGCTGGCTCCAAGGTCAAGGTCACAGTGACATTAACATTGAAAATCCTGTCCGCTCTGTAACTCTTCAACCCTTTGAAGAATTTTGATGAAACTTCAGACAAATGTTTACCACATCAAGATGACGTGCAGAACGCATGTTCCGCATGGCTGGCTCCAAGGTCAAGGTCACAGTGACATTAACATTGAAAATCCTGTTTACATGATTTTAACTTCGGGCGTCGGGCGTCAAACGAAATTGTGTCCGCTCTGTAACTCTTCAACCCTTTGAAGAATTTTGATGAAACTTCAGACAAATGTTTACCACATCAAGATGATGTGCAGAACGCATGTTCCGCATGGCTGGCTCCAAGGTCAAGGTCACAGTGACATTAACATTGAAAATCCTGTCCGCTCTGTAACTCTTCAACCCTTTGAAGAATTTTGATGAAACTTCAGACAAATGTTTACCACATCAAGATGACGTGCAGAACGCATGTTCCGCATGGCTGGCTCCAAGGTCAAGGTCACAGTGACATTAACATTGAAAATCCTGTTTACATGATTTTAACTTGATTTGGCAGTCAAAGGTCATATCATCTTTGGAGGTAATTTAAAAAAGATATGATATATTATTTCATGTCTACTTTGTAACTTGTTTTTCATTATACAGAATTATCAATATAATTATAGTGAACAAATTCTTCTGTGCTGAACTCGTCCTACATTTCTCAACGGATTTTGTTCAAACTTTCACAGAAGCTTTGTCATCAAGCACCCTGGCACATATTGTCGGGGTTTTGTGATTGGATAGTTTTTGACCTAATTATGGCCCTTTGTTTTTTTCCTTATACATAATATTATAGTGAACACTTCTTCAGTGGCAATTCCTCCTACATTATTCATGTTTTACATTGCACATAGTTACATTGTTTGTTGCTTGTATTTGTATTTCAAATACAACATATTTATCTACAATGGTGATAATTGAAAACCTGGTTTCATGGCATTGCCATGTTTCTTGTTCAATTTACTGATAGTTTCCATTTTTCAAGAAATATTCCCATTTACTGAAAATTTACTAGTTACTGAAACTTTCCAATTTACTGAAATTTTCCGTTTTTGTGAAATTTTCCAGTTTTTATGAAATTTGACATTTTTTTGATTTTACTGTTATTTAACCATTTACTGAAATTTTACAATTTACCGAATTCATACAAATATTATTTTATCACAATATTTCAGGGCCAAAGATCAGCTTGTAGTTAACTGGGAGACAACTCTGAAGAGACTAAGAGTTCAACTAACACAGTTTCTGACAGCCTCTGCTGAGGATACGACAGTTAAAGAGGTAAACGTCTTGTACAGCTTTAACATTTCTGACCTTTTCATGACCTTAGCAGCAACAGAATCTACCTTGGTACCGTCTGATCGTGGTCTGCTCTGTTTGCTAGTCAGTCAATATTTATTTTGAAAATTTTCCCTAAATATAAAAATGGTTTTGTCCAGAATAAAGGATAGATAAGCCCATTTGAGATATTTAGGGTGGAAATGATAAATAATACTGGCGCAGGCTTTATAAGGGAAGTGTTCCTTGCATTGCAATCAGGATACAAAATAATAACTTAACATTAAAACATGGACACGTACGGCAGCCAATAAGATGATTTTTTGCAGTTTCATTTATACAGTATGTCAGCCAATCAGATGATATTTTACAATTTCAGTTGTACAGTATATCAGCCAATCAGAAAGCAGATCTCATGAGACTGATGAATGAGGCTGTACAGGTGCTCAGACCTGATCAGACAGAGGACGATGTAGATTATCGTGACCTCGTCTCCCAGGCAACGACCTTCCGTAAGATCTTGAGTCAAGTTAAACCAAGTGCTAAAGATACCCAGAATGGCACAACACTCACATGGCAGGCTAACGCGAAGACATTGACTATATATAAGGTAAGAAACTTAAGTTGCTTCTTTTTGTTTTCATAATGAGAAGTTTTGTTCTAGATAGGCACAATTTATTATAAATTTGAAAAAGTGTAACAGCTTGTTGAAAGAGCGCCTGTAGTTTTAATGAATGGTATAGTTGTCATAACCGCCTCTGTGGTCGAGGGGTTAGAGTCCATGACTTCTAATCCAGTTACCTCTCTGGCATGGGTTCGATCCCCGGGAGATGCTTTGGTAGTTTAACGCGGAGGAAGGTAGTCTAGTACTGGTGTAACTCTCCAGGAACAATGTTTAAGAAACTACCCGCCTATATGACTGAAATACTGTTGGGAAAAGGCGTAAAATGAAACAAACAAACGTGTTTGAAGTAATAGTCAAACTTTTCCCTAACATTTGAGAAAGTGTAATGACAGGTTGACAGAGTGTCCATAATTTTTTCTACTAGCAATAGAGTATTATCTGAAATGGTACGTATTTAAAGGGAATATAAATCACTCTTCCTTCACCACTAAGACTTGAATTACACCATTTGAACATAATAGTTTTTATATTGAATTAAACCTTACAAAATGAATCAAATGAATTTGTGAACATAAAGTTTGCTATATTAGTTCATGAGCTATGCAATATATTTTGGAAACTGATAAAAATCTTGCTGTCCTTGATATATTATAAATTTTGTGAATTTTATATTTATTTTCATTAAGTAAGATTAAATTTGTTATTTTATTCATGAAATTGAATTTACTAATGCCCTTTGTTATAATATGAACAATATATGTATATTATATATATTTTATTATATATATTTTTAGGAATTTATAACATATGCAAAGGCATACAATAAAAATTTACACAACACGAGAGAGAAGACGGGTGTCCTGTTACCAGATCTGACAGGACCGACGTACTCCTCAAAGGCCTATTTTGAAATGTATGTATAATATTTTGTAATCAAATCAAATTGCATGCATAAAAAGGAATATAACTTTTGGTAGTGATGAAATTTTGCATATATATAAGATAGAAACAAAAGCAGAAAAGTGAAATCTTGAAAAAATTGTTTGAATTAAATCCTTAAGTTATTCGTCAGTACATGGATTGTTCATATATTGGATAGGAAAGAAAATGAATAATTAATGCTTTTAAAGAGCAGATTTAAATTTGCAGGATAATAGGTCAAAGTGTACTTTGAAATTAAAGGTTATTGAGACAGTCTAACATTGTTTTTCTTAAGTTAGAATTATCAATAGAATAATACATGTATAAGAAATAATTTACTTTAACCATGCAGGGCACTTCCAGTGGTAGATATCGACATTCAGACCAAGAAGATGTCGGTAACTAGGGTGCGATCAGAGCTCTATATACATGAAAGACGCCACGGTAAACCGCCAATACCTCCTCCGAGACGACGTCAGAAACTACGTCGTGTAGCCTCGGCTGTTGGAGGTGACAGTGCCGCTGCCAGTGGAGTACTTAAAGACACAAAGTCGTTCGTGATTGCAGGTATGTGTGTTCGTTTATTATGTTTACAAACTTGAAAGCGGCATTTTTCAGAATTAAAATTTGGATATGTTTTTTTTTTGTAAATTTTTTGTTTTTTTGTTTTTTACTTAATAAAAAAATTGGAAAAAAAAAGGACCCCGTAAGCTTATTCACAAAAAATTAAAAAGGAATTTGGGCTGGTTTGGATCTTTTGAAAAAATAATTTCGTAAAAATCCTAGCCCCCGAAAGGGGTTTAGTGGTATCAAATTTCAAATTAAATGTTTCAAAGATGAAAACCAAAAATAAACAAAAATTTTAAAAGGGAAGTACGGGGCAATTTTTCCTTCCCCAAAGATTACCCTTGTTTGTTATAAAAAAGTTTTCTTTTATATTTATAGGTGTAATTGACCCACGTACCAAACAACAACTGAGCGTATTCCAGGCACTATCAAATGGTATATTAGATCAGATCAATGGTACATATAGGAACCCGGACACCGGAGAAGTCATTTCTATACCTGAAGCTATTCAGAGAGGCTTGATAATTGCCGATTTTAATGAACATCTTCAAAATGGTAATGCTGTCAGTGGAGGATTTACGCCAATGAGAAATAAGATGCAGACGGTCATGTATCCGGTAGAAGGGGTTATCGATCCTAAAACTGGAGAATGGATCGGTGTTAAAGAGGCTATAACATCTGGTATAATTGATCCTCGGACTGGTTCCTACACAAACCCGCTCACCGGGGAAAAGATGAGCATCTTGGAGGCAGTCCAAAATGGATATCTTGTCGCAGATCCCGCTTTGTTAGATGAAATAACAGAAGATAATGGAATGTTCACGTGCGTTGATTTTTCAGATGTTTCGTATGACGTGCAGTCAGTTATTAATCCAAGTACAGGCGAAGAATTAACATTAAAACGTGCAATACAAGATGGTGTTATTGACCCAATGAACTCTCTGTATCGTAATCCCCATACAGGGGAAACGATGGCATTAGCAGACGCAATCAAAAAAGGATTTATTAAGGTGCGGCCGGTTGACTCGAACACTCCTAGTGAGAACGTTTTGACATTTAAACAGCTTCATATTAAAAAACAAAAGTTTATACCAGGTGCTGGAGATATTCTTGAAGGTATTGATGAATTTGACGGAGAGGAACATGACCCAAATAAGAAACTAGCCGACAAATTACGATCAAAACATGACGTTTCTGTGCCACTTCAAAAGAATTCAGGTAAACGCGAAATCTCACTTGAGGAAGCAGTTTCACAAGGTTTGATTGACTTCGCAAAAAATCAGTTCAAACTGCCTGGTCAAGAACCGATGTCAATCGAAGAAGCAATTCAGAAAAAATTGATGTCACCAAAAGCTGCTAAAAAAATTCTTGACGTTTATAAAGATAATTCATTGGGTGCTCTCATTGATGAAGGAAAGTTTGACCCAGATACTGGCCTCGTAACTGACCCCAATACAGGACATACTATATCCCTTCAAGCTGCCATCTCACAGAGAATAATTGACCCAAATTCTGTCTTCCTTTTCGATAACAATTCTGGGAAGGTCATATCACTGGCAGATGCTATAGAAAAAGGACTGTTCAATCCTGAAACAGGTAAATTTGTTGATCCAAAAACAGGTGAAGAAATGACTTTATCTGATGCTGTGTTGAAAGGATTAGTGCAAACCCATATTGATCCAAATAAAATTGTAGAAAGTAATGAAATATTAGGAAAATTAGCACCTTTAACAGACACCAGTGTAAAATGTGTTGTTTCTCCCTTGACCGGAGAAGAAATTTCATTAGAGGATGCAATTAAACAAGGCATTTTAGATTTGAAAAATGGCCAGTATATCAATCCATTAACAGGTGAGGCAATACCTTTAGCAGAAGCAATAAAGGCGGGAAAAATAGATCCACGTTTATGTGTTCCATTACTAGAGGCACTAAATAAAATGTCTCTGAAGGATTTGGCAAATAACGGTGTTATCAATTTAAGAAATGGAATTATAACAGATCCCGTTACCGGACAACGTATGACAATGTCGGAAGCAATCGATAATGGAGTGTTTGATCCAAACAGTGTCATGCTTGTAGATAATGAAAGTGGAAATATTGTAAGTTTAGGTTCTCTCATAGATTCTGGAATATTTGATCCTGAAATTGGTAAATTCCGTAATCCGCAAACTGGAGAAGTAATGTCCTTGGAAGAAGCCATTGAACGAGGTTTAATTGAACCGGAAATAAATCCGGATGTTTTTGCCGATACTTCCTCATCTTTACGAGATTTGATTGATAGTAACCGTGTTAATCCAAGAACGACAAGTTTTGTTGCGCCAAACGGGCAGAAGATGTCCCTGCGTGATGCACTTGCCAACGGTTTCCTAACAATGACCTCAAAGGTCAAGATTGATCCAGCTAGCGGGGATGTCAGTTTGGCGACGGAGGAAGAGGAGGTGGTACAAAGCCTGCTGGATATTAAAGAAAAGTCCGAATGGCTGGAGGATATAGAAAGAAAGCTAGCACAGCAAAAACCTCCCAGTGAAAGGCTTGAAACCCTGGAGAAACAAAGGGAAGACTGTCATGTAAGTTTATATTGTATATAAGTTTTTACTGAAATTCTGAATTGACTCCAAACCTTACTCAGGCATATGCATGTGATATACTTGCAATATCAAATAAAATGTTGGATTTGGGCAATCATTTATATGGCAGCTGGTATTCATACACTTATTTCAACAATAGCCAATATTTTAAACATGCAGTTTTATTCAGTAATAAATTCTTTTAATGAATGGACAATCAAAAATTCAAAATAACTGATTTAATGGTAAACAGTGCAGACCATGATCAAACAGCAGGGACATGCCAGCTGATCTTGGTCTGCACTGGTTGCATGGGTAATGTGTCTTCAGTAACGGTTAAAAAAAAGTTTTAATTTTTTATATTAAAATTGTAACTTTTTTAATACATGTAGATGTACCTTACTTTTTATATTGGAAGCTAAAGAGAGAAATGTAAAGAAACCTTAAAAAAAACCGTTTTTTATGAACCAAGGGAGGTTAATCTTGTTGTAATCTCCACACATACCCTGTTTGATTATCTACTCTTTCATTTAATCTTAATCACAATATTATTGGTTATACCTGTTTGGTTTGTTTTTTCTCTGTTGATTTTATAATATTGAATTTTCAATCAGGTTGATTTGTATTTTTTTAACCAAAACTGGCTCAAATAAATGGGATAAACTTGCATTTTATAACCAAAACTCATACACATAAATGGGATAAACTTGCATTTTATAACCAAAAATCATACACATAAATGGGATAAACTTGTATTTTATAACCATATATCACTAAAATAAATGGGATAAACTTGAATTTTATAACCAAAAATCAATTAAATTAATTTTCAATGGGATAAACTTGTATTTTATAACCAAAAATCTTTAAAATTAAATTCTAATTAAATTTTAATCAAATTTTAATTAAATTTTTAAATTTTACAGGATCTGAAACAAGGAGTTGAGGAGAAAGAGGTAGAAATTAAAGAATCTATACAACAAGTCCAGACACTGGTACAGACAAACAAAGCTGATAAAAAAGACGAGTGCGCACAACAACTACAGAAACTTAAATCTAGCTCTACAGACCTGAAAGTTCGGCTTGACACTGTGAGTATATGCTTCTTTTTTTTTCTTTCTTATTTATTGCAACAGTGGCTTTCTGTATTCTTGAAAGTTTATAAAGTTATGCCAGTTTTAAGTTTGTAACATCTGATTTCTTTACGCCTTACCTTTGGCCTGCTGATGGTGAAAGGATTTACCAAGGCTACAAGTTTTAAAAAACAATATCCCTAAAATGATCAATGGTCTTGTCCAGGTTGAAAGATGGACAAGTCCATTTAAGATAATTAGCATGGTAATGGTTAAAAAATATTGTTTTCAGTAATAAACCACTTAACCAACATATGAAATCTATATTTAAAAATTGAATTCTTTCTCACAAAAAAATAAAAGACGATTATGATAATTTTCTGTTTAAATGATGAGGCAGTTTTTTTTTGGGAGGATCACTGTGTGGCACAGTGGTAGACCAATTTTATTTTTTGTTTGATTTTCCTTTTTTAACAATCTTAAGATGTTAATCTCTTCAAATGACCACTCCTTTATGTCCATTTTCATTTCTTTGTAGACCAATATATTATAGATTGTTATGTAACTAAATGATCTTTATCCCACTCCCTCCCACAAAAAATAGAAAAAGAGTCACTGTGGCAGACAATCATTTAAATGCAAAGGACATTCCATTATTAACCAGTACCTGTTATTTGTATACAAATTAGGCCTGTTTGAAAAGTGTATTATCAGTTTGGTAAGATGTTTTCAACAAGTGTGTTACATTTTGGTCTTGATGGAGACAAGATAAGTTTTACACAATTCTTTCAGCTGAGACTTACAACACAAGAATGTTGTCAATAAAATTAGGGGAAACAGTTATAGGGCAAAGGCCAATTTAGTACAATTATTATGAATGTACCTTTGTCCACATAGGAAATGATCTGTTCTGTTTATAAATTCCCCCTTGTGGCTGAGGGGTTGCATTTAAGGTTCGAGGGATCAGAATTGCAGCCAAAAATCATCTTTCCTGTTTCAACACCATACATGCTATATGACCTAGATTGTGTTGGTATCCAGTAAAATCAAAGGAATCAAACAATCATAAAATTTCTGCTTATTTTATTAATGTTTTTGCAAGATTTGATTAAGGTTATGGTAATAGTGTCAAATCTGCTGGTTTAACTTCCAGTATTGCCAATGTGTAATTACTTAGTCTTATCTGTGTATTGAACTGTACTGTAGTTATTACATTTGTCAATCTTAACTATCTTCTACCATCTTCTCTCATTTTTCTCCATTCCTGTCACTTCCCAATCTTCTCTCACATCCCAATCTTGTCTCATTTGCCCATAAGCTCTTTTTAACATTCATTCTCTATTTATATCATCTTCAGCCCGCAGATATGTGATCTCTGCCTAATTAAGTCTTTCTTGTTGCTTTCTTTTAAATGAAATATCCAATGTAACATCAATCAGACATTTAAGTACCCTATTCATGATTTTAACAAAACATGTTAGTCATGACTGGAAGCTAAAGAAGGAGTTACAAAAAGGATTTACTAAAATTACTGCTAAGATATTGTACTTAAGATTAGAATTAATGATGATTTTCTACTAACAGATCTACAAGTTTTTGTGGTGTTCTTTACATTAAGAAAGTTTTGTTTTTTCTGTAAGTCAGAAACATTAGTTAGCTAAGATAACACACTGTGGTCATTTATCACCAGTATGACACATTCAGTGTTCATTAATTATAATGTAACATTGAATAAAACACATAAATCATTGACCAGGGTACAGGCAACACAAAAATGATTTATCGAGATGTAGCTATAAGTCTAGTCTTAGATATGAGACTGAAATTTGCTACTGTATAGCAGTGACTGACTTAAGTATAATATGACCTACCATGCTGGTATCATGTATGTTAAAGTAATAAATATGACTTTTACATGCTTATGCACAATGTCACAAGACATGGTACATTACTTTGCAAGACATGCTCAAAGTGTTTGCATTTATCCCATGCTAAATTGAATTTGGACCAGTAGTGCTGGGACTTTGTTGTTAAGCCAGTGGTTTCATTTAGGCGTGTCAAATTGTATGCATTTGAAAGTTGCCTATTTTTGTATAACCTTCATACCATAAATTTTTCTACAAATTTAGAAAAAAAGTCTTTTTAGAACCTTAGAATTACACCAACCTGGGAAACTTGGCCGTTATTGCATGATTCATACCTACTCCAAGAGAAATTAAGATTTAAGAATGAAAGTTGTCTTTTAAAGGTAAAATTAGGGCATTTTTGAATGAAATTTTTTACAAAGGTAAAGATAATTAATATTTTTAGTTATACTTAAAATTTTGCTATAATTGACCTCAAACAAAGAGTAAAAATGATAATTGCCTATGAAGCACCGACTTGGAATTCAATTCAAAATTTAACTGACTGATTTCTTTTTTAAATAAACAAAGAAGAATGACATTCCTATTTTAATTTTATAGTAAACATTGCAATGTCATGAATCACAATTTATATGATTGTACACTATATTTTGTCGGTCAGTTGAAGAGGTGTTGGTAATAACTGGCTAGTGATCCAGTTTACTGGCTAGTGATCCAGTTTACTGGCTAGTTATCCAGTTTACTGGTTAGTTGTCCAGTAAAATCCAGTTAGGTGGATTTACCAATGATATATTACCAATAATGTATTGAAATTGGTGTAAAAAAACAACCGCAGAAAAACAAATAATTTACTTCGACACAGAAAACGTTACAAAATTCGAGGGTTGACTGCAAAACTGCTGTAAGTCTTTCTTTTGTTCAAACATGTTATTGCAGTTTTAAAATGACCCAGAAAAATAATGTTGACTAATCTACCTATGTACCACCTGTTACAGTACTGTTTTTAATAAGTAAATGATTGATTGATACACAATACTTTTTTCCCTGTTATCTAATACAATACTTGTTTTTAAAAATAGTTTTGTGAAAAAAAATGGATGTTGTTAAGTTTTTCGGCTTTTTTTTTATCGGGTTTATCAAGACTGAAAAGCTTATGTAATGACTTGTGACCCACATGGATTTAGAATTTTGTTAGAAACATATTTAAAGTGAGCATCAGTTCTCCAACATGGTTGTATGTGTCAAACTCTAGAAGAAATTAGAACTGTTTAAGAGTGTTCTCTTGAATATGTGGAAGTTGTGAGGTACTTGTGGAGAAACCTCTTGACATGATACTCTGGTTATTTTGACTGTACAAAATATCAATCTGGGATGAAAATCACACATAATACATTACCCACTGGAACCATGCTGTTAAAATTGTACCAAACAACTGATATCTTCTTTGTGATGAAAAGATGGTTTAAACATGATAACCCAGCTAGGGGTTTAGTCATGAATACAGTGAAAATTACAGACAAAAATACAAGCCAGACTATTAAAGGTCAGGCCATTTGAATTACAACCAAAAAAAAACATGCTGCACAGAGGATATGTCCAGGGAAGTTATAATTATGCATGCTTGAATAGTTTTGATGAAATTAAAACCATTTAATGTTTGAATTAAGGCATTTGTTTTATATTAAGAGGCAAAATATGTTTGGTACAAAAAATTTTGTCATGCAAAAAACTGGAAAAGTGATTTTGTAAAAAAGAAATTTTGTCACACAAACACAGAAAGGGAATTTCAAAATTATAAAAAAGACAGCTAGTCCATTAAATGCCAAATTCTTAATGTGAGACAGTATTGAATATTTTTGAATGGTTTAATTTTATATACATATTTCATAGGTATAAACAGTAAGCTAGAATGTTTTAAACATGTCCTTTTATTCGGTCAGAAGATAATTGTGTTTTTCGTAAATGAGTTTTGTAATAGTATATACTACTACTACTACCTACTTACTTATAGTACAATGTAGGTACATAACTATAACGAATGAAACACATGTTTAACAAGAGTTAAATACATGTAATAGGAGATTATAATCTTCAAGTGCAAAATGTGGAAAAGTCAAAACATCGGACATAAATTGTCTGAAAGTGGGAGTTACAATTTGTTTGATCTATTAGCTAGCATTTAGAGCATGTATGGATTAAAATCTTCAAATGTTAAAAAGGAGTAGAAAAAATGCAAAATATACGTATAAGAGCAGAAAAATAGTTAAAAGATTGAATTTTTTCCAATATACTTAATTAAAAGGACGTTAATTGTGCTTAATGGATTTGTTTTATCGATGGTGAATAGATTTAGACTAGAACACATAGGATATGAACTTTTGTTTTTATATTTTTTTTTAGTAGATGGAATCTAAAATGTTGAATATGGATTCAGTTTGAAAAGAAAAGTGATAAGATTTTTTGTGTGTAATAAATATTGGATTTCAAAAGGAAAAGAGACAGAATTAAAGTTAGATGTTTTTTTAATGTGAGTGTAAGATAGAAATTTAAGATACCTATGCCATTATGATGTTTAAACGTTATCATGCATTTATACGAAAATGGAAATATGGTGGATGTTTTTGGTCAGTTAAACATAGCAGGCACTATGACATTGTCAAAGTAAGTTTTTTATTGAAAAAAAGTTTGGTAATTCATTTTCTGAATCTTTTTATAATTAGTAATGTTGAAGATTATAATTCAATTCCTATTTTTCCCCCCTTTTTGGCATGCGATACATTAATTGTGTAAATGCTTTTTTTGATATAAAGTTTTTTCTATTCAAAATGAAATTTAATGATGTCTTATTATATTATCATTCAGAAAAATCCTTATCATTTTTGTTGTAATTTCCCTTGTTGGAAAGGTTTCTTCAATGTTAATAAAGAAATTAATTCAGTTTGAGAAAATAATTTTGAAGAATAAATCTAAAAATAGATTCTGCATGAATCATTTACATTATTCTTTTACCTACATTAAGAATAGGTTTGCATTTATAGGTAAATAGTTTCCCCTTCATCGGTTTAATCGTTTCAATATTGACTTCAGGATAATCTATCAGATTTAAGTATTTATATTCTTGCACTTTAAATCTGGTCAATGCTTGAATTATTG